ATTAAACAGAATCCATAGCAGTTCTTTCATGTACCCTTTTGGTCAGCAGATGGTTCTTGATGGCCTGCTGCTGCTCCCGTGCTATAAGTGACAAATTATCGCTCCGGAGGTACTATTTACATATTATTAAGATCGGAAAGAACTATCTCTATGATAATTAAGCTCTTTGTAGGGAAAGGAGCATAGTTTAATACACAATTTGGAGTGGAAGCTGGGTCGAGGCAGACTATAATTTCTTACAGGTGTTTTGCTGTATAGGCCGATTGTGCCCTTATGCCCTGCCTCAGTTCCTGTACCTTGATCCTTGGATGTCCTTGACGACCCAGGTTGCCCATTGTTGTATTTTGTGAAGTGTGTAATTGAGTTTGTTATATGTGAACTGTTGCGTTTAGTGATTGCTCTTCTACCTCCCTCTGTTATGTAATAAACCCTTTTTAATTGTAATAAAAATTACTTTGTATATCTATGTCCCCTGCCAATTTATCGTGAGCTGACCTGTGTTGCCTAAAAAGAAATTTATTAATAAAGGTCCCTGGGCTAGACCCAGGGTGGCGTAGTCGTGCTAAATCTCTAATCCTTTACTGCTTCGCCACATTTGGCGTAGTCGGCAGGGTCTCACGGTACTTAGGCGGAGACGTGGTTATCTAGATCTTGTTTTTCTTATGATTGTTGGCTTTTGTTGTTCATCAGTGTGATTTTGTTTTTTTTCTAGTGTTAAGGCAAAGCAGCAGCGTCTGTCTGGATTGTGGAGAACGTTTTTTCCTATTCCTTTGGGTCTCCTGTCCGTGGTTCCCTATTGGTGTGGTAAGTTGTGATTTAAAAATGGAGGATGAACTTAGAGAACTTAAAGAACTTGTGGCCCAGTTGAGGGCAGACAACGAGAGGCTGCGCCAAGAGCGTACACTTGCGTTGCCTGGTTTCAGTGCGGCATCTTCTAATGTGTCAGATGCAGAGCCTGTTACACCTCATCCAGTCGGTGTAAGTGCTAGCCAGTCAGAAAGATTTGTGTTTGTACCCAGGGATCAGAAATGCCCCAAGTTTAATGGCAAGTCAGGGATTGGCATCAACGAATGGATTAAAGCGGCGCAGGCCTGTATTCGGGCTCATCATTTGTCGGTCTCGGACCAGGCGTTCTTTCTATTTGACCACTTGGAGGGGGAGGCACGGGAGGAGATCAGGTATCGTTCTGATCTTGAACGAGGGGATCCAGACAAGATTTTTCTTGCGTTACGCCAGGTTTTTGGTTGCTCTCAGTCCCACGCATTACAGGAAGCCTTTTTCTCCAGGTGGCAGTTGGAAGGGGAGAGTTTAGTAGAGTTCTCCCTTGCTTTGATGGGCCTTATGGAGAAAGTTAAACAGAGGTTTCCTGGGGCCGTGTCGAATGCTCCTGTACTATTACGTGACCAGTTCGTCAAAAATGTGACAGATAATGCGCTTCGGCGTGAGCTTAAACAATTAGTTCGTCGTCAACCAAATGCCACGCTGTTAGAAGTGCGCAGCGAGGCGATAAGGTGGGAGCAGGAGGGTATGCCTGGGGGTGTGCGGGCTCGTAGCCAGTCAGTCCTGTTATCGTATGGGATTCAATATGGTGTTCAGGGTGGACAGCGTTCGGATACGGGTGGGCCCTCACCCCACCGTCGGAGCTGAGTGAATTAAGGGAGATGTTAAAAGCACAACAAAATCAATTGCATCAACTGACTCAAAGTTTTGCTCAGTTTCAGGGTACACGTCCGCGAAATCGTTCTCCACGTTATGGGCCAGTGACTTGTAGACGGTGCCATCAACCTGGCCATTTTACTGCGTCATTGCCTGTAGAGGGGCAGCGTCGGTCAAGTCAGCTGTCGGGAAACTAATACCCACCGGGCTGTTGAGCCACAGCTCGGATGGGGGAATTAGGGGCTGGGATGTGTTAATCAATGGTAGCTCAATGTCTCGTTTAATGTCTGGATGCCAGTTGCCAGTCTGGCAATTGGTGGCCAGTATTGGTGGAGTTTCTTGTGTGTGTTTAATCGATACGGGCTCTATGGTATCCACAATAACGGAGAGCTGCTTTTTGGAAAATTTCAAACCATGGGGCCAAGAGCGTTTAAAACTGTGCCAGTGGCTCCAATTACGTGCTGCTAATGGGCTTGCAATTCCATAAATTGGCTATATGGAGTTAGATGTGGAGTTCTGTGGCAAAATAGTGCCAGAATGTGGGATATTAGTGGTTAGGGACCCTCCATGTGTGCTCAGGTCCCTGGGGTACTGGGGATGAATGTGCTGAGCCGGTGCTACCGAGAACTCTTTGGCCAACACAGCCAGGCCTTGTTTGACTCGGAGCCGGTTTTGTGATGCAAGCATTGCAGCATTGTCACAAAACTAAATCCCAGCCAGTTTTTGGACAGGTAGGTAGGGCAAGAGTGCAAGGGCATCATCAGTGCCATGTTCCTGGTGGTACAATGAAGATAATCACTGCTACCTGCTCTGAACAGTATTCCGGGGGTGCGGTGCTGTTTGAGCCACTTGAGTCTGGACTTCCGGCTGGCCTTCTGGCTTCACCTGCCCTAGTGCCAGTAATTCGAGGTACGGTCTACATCCCGGTTGTGAACGTAGGGATGTTAGATGCGGTATTGTACCCGAATACCTTACTAGGCAGCCTGCATGGCGTGTACGTTGTGAGCTTGCCTCCAGGGGTGACTGAAGTAAAGGATGTGGTTGCTACGGTGGGTTCCCAAGGCTGTGTGGTAGAACCCTCGTTGCCGGAGCAGATTGAATCTGTTGACTTATCTGCTTTGGAGTTGGAGGAGCAAGATAGGGTTAGGACCCTGTTGCAGAGCTATCAGTGTGTGTTTTCAGCTCACGACAGTGATTTAGGGTGTACTAACCTGATCTCGCATGACATTCCCCTTACAGACGAAATCCCAGTCCGGCAGCGATATAGGCGCTTGCCCCCTTCGGAGTATGATGTGGTGAAGACGCACATCAACCAGCTGCTGGAGGGTCAGATCATTTGAGAGAGTTGTAGTCCCTACGCGTCTCCTATTGTTTTAGTGAAAAAGAAAGACGGTAGCCTACGCATGTGCGTAGACTACCGTCTGTTAAATTCGAAGACCAGGAAGGACGCGTTTCCGCTGCCTCACATAGAGGAGACATTAGACGCACTGACAGAAGCCAGCTGGTTTTCCACTTTGGATTTGGCCAGCGGGTACAACCAAGTTCCAGTCACTGAGGGGGATAGGCCCAAGACTGCATTCTGTACTCCGTTCGGGTTATTTGAATGAAATAGGATGCCTTTTGGTCTTTGTAATGCTCCCAGCACTTTCCAGCGCTTGATGGAAAGATTGTTTGCTGATCAGCGGCATCAGTCGTTGCTTTTGTATTTGGACGACATTGTGGTATTTTCCTCCTCAGTGACCCAGCATCTGGAACAGCTGGAGGTGGTCTTGGGTCGATTGAAACGGGAAGGTCTTAAAGCAAAGCTGGAAAAGTGTGCATTCTTCAAACAACAGGTTAAGTATTTGGGTCATGTGGTGTCCTCCCTGGGGGTTGTCACAGACCCAAGTAAAGTGGAGGTAGTGGCGAATTGGAGCCGTCCGAGTAATGTTACAGAGCTTCGTTCATTTTTAGGGTTTGCCAGTTACTATCGCCGCTTTGTGGAGGGATTTGCCAAATTGGCAGCCCCTCTACATAAGCTGGTTGCTGAGTTTGTTGGGGGCAGGCATAAAAAATTGTCAGGACCAAGATTTGCCAGTGCGTGGACAGAGCATTGTCAAAAGAGTTTTGACACCTTGAAGGATAAGCTCACAACTTCGCCTATTCTTGCATATGCCGATTTTTCATTGCCCTTCATCCTTGAAGTGAATGCCAGTCACCGGGGCCTGGGGGCAGTGCTCTCCCAGGAACAGGAGGGAAAGGTTCGACCTATCGCTTTTGCCAGTCGTAGTTTGCGGCCCACCGAGCGCAATCCGGTAAATTACAG